ATCTTGAGAATAAATGATCGGGAGCGGTTTCACTCTTTAATCCGCTCTAAATATTATAAATTCAGATTAGTCGGACTAATTGGTACTGAACACTGGATTGAATAATATAATTTTTTTTAAAAAGAAAGAGATTATTCCATTATTCTTAGTTACATTTGTTAGGTAACTCCTGAAATGAAAATGTACAGTGCTCATTTGCATTGCATTACAGCCTGTTATTAAGAATTTAATTTTTGGCCACCGAAAGTAAAGATCCTTTAACAGCAACTTCTCTTTGAAGAATAGAATAAGTAACCATAACAAAAGAATCAACTAAAGTACAAAACTATATATATTAACCATCTCCTTTACATATTTATATTCCCTTTTTTCCCATTATCCTTTCCCTTAATGAAAAGTTTATCCATCTATTATGCAAAGGGATTATTCTAGAGATAATGATAATTAATTTCGAGATTAAATTTTAGATGAGTTTATTTCATGCTTGGTTGGGATAAAATGATAGTATAACTAATCTCGAGATTAAATATTACAATGTTATTTTTATCATACGGGAGAGTAGGATAATAATCCCGGGATAACTAATCTCAGGATAATTAATCATGGGATAACTTGTTTCCCAAACCAAACGACCCCTTAGTCATTAGCAAGTTGTCTGGCATTTATTTTTAATTTTACAACGGAGCTTCATGATAAATTAGACGGGCTCCACGTATCACAATACTTTACTAAAATCTTCCAAATTTACCACTTTATTTCTTACTATGAATTAAAAGCATCATCCGTTATACTTGAAGCTCTATTAGAATCAAGGACAAATAAGACAATTTGCAAACGGTGAAGGTATGAATGCCTAAGGTAAAAGCAAAATATTTGGTATAGTTTAATGATAACTTTAGCGATTTTTAACCTGATATACTATTTACTTTTAATATCCTATATACATAAATTATATACTAATTATAGACGATATTAGTTTAAGCGGCTGACTATTTAGGTTAATTCTTCTATTTTTTTGTACTTACTCTTCCTTATATTGCTCCAAGTTCTTTCTGCAGCAAAGAAGAAACAACATCCCCAAAAATGAGCTGCTGTAAGCCCAAAAGATCCAAAAGTTTCCCCATATCCAAAACCCCATCACAAAAAGAAACACTAGAAACCAAAAATATCAAACATGAAGTTCTTTTAAGTATTCCAGGATGCAAAGTTCATCTAATGGATGAAGGAGAAACCTTAGAACTTTCAAATGGTTTCTTCACAATATTTTCTATATCAGAAGAAGATGTTTGTGTGGCTACTATTGTAAAAGTTGGTGATGAACTTCAATGGCCATTAACAAAAGATGAACCTGTAGTGAAACTTGATGCTTTGCATTATTTGTTTACTTTGCCTGTTAAAGATTGTCATCCTTTGAGTTATGGTGTGACATTTACAGAAAATGGTAGTGGAAATCTTGGTTTTTTGGATGCATTTCTTAAAGAAAATACTTTGTTTACTAGTTCAATATCATCAAATAGAAGAAAGGATATTGAATGGAAAGAGTTTGCTCCTAGAATTGAAGATTATAACAATGTTTTGGCTAAGGCAATTGCTGGAGGTACAGGTCAAATTGTTAAAGGAATCTTCAAATGTAGCAATGCTTATACTAATCAGGTTTGCATTTTGTTTCCTTCGTATGATGTTACTGTTGCAAAGGAACTTTTTTGAATTTCCTTTCTTATCTTAAAAAAAAAAAAAAAAAGCAGCCTGATGCACAAAGCATTTCGCGTTCACGAAGGTCCGTGGAAGGGCCGCACTCTTGTTAAATATCTAGACGGTTGAGCGAATGAGTTATTGTCTCTTTATATACAATCTTGGACAGTTCTCATTTTATGAGTTAAATTTTAGGATTGAGTTACTCCTGAACTCTGTTTTCTTATTAGAATTGGACTAATCGTTCCTAGTTTTGACTTACTTAATGCCCGCATGTTATACTGTCCACGCTCCAGATGTCCAAGTCTAAGCGTGTATATTACATATTAGGCTATGATGTCTACATCACACCCTTGGGATGCAACCCTTCCTCGGATGCTTTGTATATCGGGCCGCCCTTTAATGTTCCACATTGGTTGAGGGAATGAATTGTTATTTTCTAATATAGTCTTCTACAATTCTCACTTTATACAACTAAAATTGAGTTAGATCCAAGTTGCGTTTATGTAACATTATTAAATGTTAACTTGGAACTTATTCACGTTGATTAGAAAATTAAGGAGTATATAAGGTGAAATTTGAGCTTATATGATTATTGGATTAATGTCACAAGGTGATTTTGAGCAAAAAGCTAAAAATTAGAAAGGGAAATGCAGGTACAGAAGGGAGGGGAAAACATCTTAATTCCAGCTGTAGAGAACTCTGTTTCTACTGCTACCAAAAGGAAAGGCAATGTCACTGCTGCTACAAAGAAGAATGCAGTCAATGAAAGCCTAAAACGGTATGAGACAGCTATTTATTCTTTTCTCATTATCCTTCTCATTTAGTCAAAAAGCTAAAGAAAAACACAGTATGTCTACCACTATATGATTCTTTTATCTCTTTACTTTACTTATTGTCAAAAGTTAAGCGAAAAAGGTTTAAAATACCCCTCTACTATACGGAATATCATAAGTATATTATATGTCGTACTTTGGGTCATTTATATTCTTACGCTAGCAAATCGCCTCGTATTTGCCGTTGGCACTAATGGAACTTCAGCATGAAGTATAACATAGAGTAATTTTTAAACTGTGTATAAAAGTAGATGAATAAATTTAGATATTTTTCCGAAGTACTTTGTCACGTAGAATTTACTCAATTTACACTGTTCATGGATCGGATCGGATCTGACACCTTTCCGATTGTAATTTCAGATTTCGAATTTGGTAAATTGCTTACCAATTCAAAATCCTAACCAAATTAAATTCGGATCAAATCGGATTTTGATGTTTGGATCCGATAAATATTTCGGATTTCGGTTCAGATTGTACGCCTAATTACGATGCTAAAAATAATAATTTTAAGATGATATCTCCTACCATTTTTAATAGCAAAACTCATTGACTTTCATATCTTTCACATTTAATATTGAAAAGAAAGAAAAGACAAAAACAATGAGAGAAATAATAAAGAAACCTTAAAATTTCTGAGTTTATATGTAAAATATAAATTTCAGATTTCGGATCGGTTCGGAGGTAGATTGAGCCAAATCATATCCGATATGATATTAAAAATAATTAAATTAAATATTCGAAATCCAATCCAAAGAGCTAAATTCCAATCCAAATAATACATATCCGTTTAGATTTCGGGTTAGATTCAAATAATGCACATTCCTAATTAACGCTAGAGCTCCATTTAAAGTCAAAGATAAATACGAAATAACTTACTAATTTGGCAAGGATATAAATTACTCAAAGTATCACAAAAAGTAAAGTAAGATATTTTGAATAGTAAAAGAGTAAATTTGGACCACTCCCAAAAGTTAGAAAAAGGTGTTTTTCTCTTGTTTCAAAAATGTCCAAAAAGCTTGAACTAAAACCTGTCATTCAATATATTGTAGTGTGAGGAATCTGTCAAAGATGACAGAAAAGATGAGCAAATCTATGCTAAATGGGGTTGGAATTGCAACTGGTTCAGTTATGGGGCCAATGGTTAGGTCCCAAGCTGGCAAGAAATTCTTAGCCATGGTTCCTGGAGAAGTTCTCTTAGCTTCACTTGATGCTATCAGTAAGTGGCCAGTAACCTTAATTTTTCTTTATTTTTGTTGTTTCATCTTTCTTTTTTCAAATATGTTTGGAACCATTTTCTTGTCGAAATTGCAGACAAGATCTTAGATGCTGCTGAAGCTGCTGAAAAACAAACATTGTCTGCAACTTCTGGTGCTGTGACTAGGATGGTCACCAATAGGTATTCCCTCTATTCATATGATCGTGTTTGATTTGACATGAAATTTAATAACGAATTTTTTTTTTGAAACTTGCGGTCTTGAACATGAGGGTAAACCAGTGCACGAAGCATCTTCTGTTCACGCAGGGTCGGGGAAAGAGCCGCACCTCAAGGGCTGTGCTGTAGACAGCCTTCCTTAATACAAGCATTAGTGGTTGCTTTCACTGCTCGAACTCGTGATCTGTAGGCCATACAACGATCTTGAACATGTTATGATATTTTTTACGGTTTTAAAAGTATGTCATTGAGCGTAAAATGAGAAGATTGCTGTTAAATTATTTTTTAAATATAAAAATATAAATTATTTTGGAAAAAACTAATAAGGCTACTTGCATGTAAAATAAAACAACTCCAAACAACTTTGGCTAAATATTTTTCACAAATAAGAAATGTGGTTTTCCCTTAATAAGATCACCATCAATATAATCACAAAATGATCAAGATATTTGATTTTTGTTCTTGCCCAAATTGACAGTGAAGATTTATATATGGCTGCTAATATTTCTTTTTTGAATGAGGAACAGGTTTGGAGAGAATGCAGGGGAGGCAACAGAGGATGCATTAGCAACAGCAGGGCACTGTGCAGGAACTGCTTGGAATGTATTCAAAATAAGGAAGGCCCTTAATCCTGCTTCTTCTGTCTCCTCTGGAGCACTAAATACTGCTAAAACTAGAAAATAATACTAAGATTTTAAGGAAAGAAGGAAAGTTGTTGTAAGACATGTCTGAAAGAAAATAACATTGTTTCTCAAGTTGATTGAAACATCGTCTGAAGTTGTTGGAGCAGTCAGCCTAACGATACTTTTAACAAGGCGTAATACTGTTTGCTTCAGACGAAACCGGAAGGTTTTCCCCCAAAAGAGCGCACTGTTTCTACATTATATGTGTAACTTGTTTTTTAATCAACTTCTAATGCGGAAATTTATTATCACACCCAACTAGGGGTGGGCATAAAATCCGAACCGAACTGAATTAATTTGGTATTTCGATTTCGTTTTTTCGGTATTTCGGTACGATATACGGTATTGAGTTTTTGATATTTCGGTATACCGAAATACCAAAATAGTTTAGTCCAAGCCCAACTTTATTTTTATTTTTTAGACCAATAACCTTAAGCCCGCACCCCAAAAGTCCAAAATCCCTAATTCCCTATATTCCTTACCCTTAGGCTTAGTCGCTTAGAGGCAGACAAGAATTTCAAAAAACCCTCACGACTTTGCTTGGTTGCTGTGGCGGTCGGATTCACGAGTTACGACTCACGACTACAACCTCGGCGACGACGACTCCTCTCATCGGCGATTGCTTGTTTGCTCATTGTTGACCTTCATTCAGGTTCATAACTTCTCTATTCTTCATTGTTGATCTTCATTCATGCGAGCTATAATCACATTTATGAGCTATAACAATTTGTAGGTCCAGAATTATTAACTTCTAAAGTTGTTGTGGCCTTTTTATGTAGCTCTACTTAAGTCTAATAGAGTTACTATGGTGTTCTATATTTAGAGATGCGTTAGGTCATAGTTGTCAGAATGTGTTCATCTTTGAGGTTTAGCTTATTGTACCGGTGTGTTCAACAACCCTAATTTACTTTTTCCGAGATCTATGTCTACTATGTGTATTACATTACCAGATCAATGAAGAACATATTGTAGTATTTTGATTACCAGATCAATTTGGATTAGTTTTCTTAGAGGGTTAGAGCTTTTGCTATAGAGTATTAGAGCTTTTGCTACTACCAACAGATTACTGCGTAATCTACCTATATTTATGTATGTTATTCTAAAATTTTGGCTTTTTTCTAGATTAATCATACTAGAAGTAGAAAATGACTACTTTATTTATTTCTAGGAATGACAAACTAACTAGATGGGGAATAGTTTTTCCTTATGGTGTGTGATCTGCTCTTGTACTAGGCTGTTCTCTGTTAATTACGCGACCATTCGCCCTTGTAGTGTTTTGCTTGTAGTGTTCTATTTAGTGTTTTTGTTTTAACAATTTGTGTTTATATTTGTTTTAATTTTGTATAGATGGCGGATGAAAGTAGAGTAAGTGATGTTGGTTCAACTGAAAGCTTACCTATTACTGATGATAGCAATGCTAACACAATTAATACTCAAGATTCTAAGAAAAGAAAAGTCATAGAACCTAGATCAGAAGTTTGGAAATATTTTGATAAATTTCAGGAAAATGGGGTCGGTAAAGCAAGGTGTAAATATTGTAAGCAAGCTTATGCTACTAATTCATCTAAGAATAGAACAACAGGATTGAGAAGTCATTTGAATAGATGCAAAGAATACCCACCTAACATTGATAAAGATAATACTCAGACAAGGATAAACATTCAATCTTGTCAAAATGATAGAGGATCGCTTTGGAAATTCGATCAAAAAGTGATTAGGAGGGCTTTAATTGAGATGATAGTTATTGATGAACTACCATTTAGCTTTGTAGAAAAGGAAGGCTTTATGAAGTTTATGAGAATATCTCAACTACTATTTCGTCTTCCTTCTCGTAGAACAATAACAAGGGATTTGTGTTTGGATGTTCTTACTAGGTGGAATTCCACCTATTTGATGTTGGATACGGCACAAAACTTTGAAAAGGCCTTTGGCAAGTTTCATCTTTTTGATGATGGATTTTCTGCTTATCTATGTTCTCCTCTTTGTGAAGATGGTAGTAGTGCAGGGCCTCTTGAATCTGATGATTGGGTGAATGTGAGGAATGTGATAGAGTTTCTTGCAAGATTTCACGAGCTCACCAAAAAAGTTTCAGGTTCACGTTATGTCACTTGTAATTCTCATTTTGATGATGTATCTGAACTTTATTGTCATTTGAAAATGTATTTAATTAGTGAGGATGAGCATTTGAGAAAAATGGCTGAGCGGATGCAAGAAAAATTCAAGAAATATTGGGGTGAGCCTGAAAAGATGAATAAAATAATTTTTATTGCTTCCGTCTTGAATCCACGTAACAAATTTGAATATGTTAGCCTTGCACTTGAAGAACTTTTTGGGGAGGAAAAAGGGAAGAAAATAAATGCTGAGGTGTATGCTTATATGGATTCTTTGTTTGAAGAGTATCTAAAAACGTATTCAACTGGATCTTGTCCTCAATCTCCATCTAGTTCTACTTATCTAATAACATATCTAATATATCTAGTGGGAGTGTTATAACTGCATCATTAATAAGGACGGAGCTTCACTTGAAGAAACAAAAGGAAGACAATGGAAGTGGGGGTACTAAATCGGAGTTGGATAAATACATTAATGAAGAACAAAAGCCTTTTAGTAAAGAATTTGATATCTTAAGTTGGTGAAAAATATATGCTCCTAGATTTTCTATTCTTTCAGAGTTAGCTCGTGATGTGTTGGCCATTCCAATTTCTAGTATGGCGTCGGAATGTGCGTTTAGTATCGGTGGCCGTATTCTTGATTCATTTAGGAGTTCATTGACTCTTAAATGTGTGCAAGCTCTTGTTTGTGTTCAAGATTGGCTTAGAGAAGAGAAGAATCCTATTAGTGTTGAAGAAGACTGGGAGTATCTTGAGGAACTCGAGCTTGGTAAGCTTTAATAATTTGTGTGTATTTTAGTTCAAAATAATATATCATACTTATTTATTTGTATGACATATTTGGTCGAATTATCTTTAGATATGGAAAATAATGGAAGCACTACTAGCATTGTTTGATGTATAGTTGCAACTTGAAACTTGAGTGGTAAGTTTAATACTTTATTTGTTTGGTGATATACTTTTGTAGTTTTGTTCTATTATCATCAAAAAATAATATTCTAACTTATTATTTATCTTTTTTTTTTTTAGGTTCAAGTGCAATCATGCCCGTGCTTCTAAAGTACGCTCTCATATTTGGGAATACTTTGAGGTGATAAAAGATAGCGAAGAAGTTCGCAAAGTAGAGTGCAAGAATTGTGGTCGAGTCTATAATGTTCATCCAAAGAGGGATGGCACATATTGTTTAAGGAAGCATATTAGGCGTTATCTTGAGCGTCTTCCTGAAATTCGTATTTAAGAATTAAGACTAAGTTGATTCGAGACTATTAGTGTAAACTTGAATTATGTTTGGCAAGTTTTTGCCCTCTCTGTTTTTGTTGCACTGTGTTTAATTCTGCTGCTACTCGTTAGTGGTTGTTACTATCTTAGCTTGCTGTGATATTTATTTACTTCTTTTCCCTTTCAAGTACTTGCTGTGAATGTGATAACCAGGTGTGCATCTGCCATGTATGTGTTGCTGCATGTTGTTAGGCAAATTTGAATGTTTCTTACACGCCTTTTGTTAGGCAGAATGACAGATTGTTTACTCGTTAGTAGTTATTTTTGCTTGTTTAATGCTTAGGCTTTTAGCACTTAGCAGTACGTGACACATGAATATATATTAAATCGAAACCGTACCGAACCAAAATAAAAAATACCGAACCGTATCGAAATATTTTGGTACGGTATTTAGTATACACAATTGATAAACCGAATACCGAAATACAGAACTGAAATTCTTAAATACCGATTCGAAGTACCGAATGCCCACCCCTATACCCAACCAACATAATACATTAGATTGTTAGACGCAATAACTTACAAAATCTTAACTCGCGGTCTTATGTTTCTTATAAATTTTTTAGTTTCAAAAATGATACTCCACTTTGGTCTAGAAAAGGTTCATAAGTTGCAAGATAAATAAAATGAGGGCCATTCACTAAACAGCTATCCCGAGAAAGGACAATCGACAAAATATTTGTATGAATTTGGACTCAATCGCGTGACGGAGTTAACGCTAAGTTGGAAGTTTGGAGACAAACATTGGAGTCTAAGGGTTTTAAGTTGAGTAGGTCGAAAACTGAGTACTTGGAGTGCAAGTTCAGTGATGGGATGCATGAAGAAGGAGAGGAAGTGAAGATTGGTACTCAAGTCGTCCCCAAAAGAGATAGTTTCAAGTATCTTGGGTCTATTATTCAAGGCAACGGGGAGATTGACGAGGATGTTACCCATTGTATTGGAGCGGGGTGGATGAGATGGAGTCTCGCCTCAGAGGTTTTGTGTGATAAGAGTGTGCCACCTGAACTTAAGGGAAAGTTCTGCAGAGTGGTGGTTAGACCAGCTATGTTGTATGTGGCTGAGTGCTTTCCCGTCAAGAAGTCCCATGTCTAGAAGATGAAAGTAGCTGAAATGAGGATGTTGAGATGGATGTGTGGTCTTACCAGGAAGGATATGATCAGGAATGAAGTTATTAGGAATAAGATAGAAGTGACATCGGTGGAGGACAAGTTGCGGAAGTCGAGGCTGAGATGATTCGGGCATGTGAAGAGGAGCGACATAGATGCTCCGGTCAGGAGGTGTGGGAGGTTGTCCATTGCGGGTCTGAGGAAGGGAAGGGACAGGACTAAGAAGTATTGGGGAGAGGTAGTTACACAGGACATATCATTGCTCCACTTACCGAGGATATGACCCACGATAGAAAGGTGTGGAGGTCGAGGATTAGAGTTGTAGGTTGACTGATAGTAGTATGTTCCTCATAGGCTTACCAATAGTATTAGGATTATTTTTGTATTATCTTATTCATGGTTCTTTACTATTACATGTTGTGTCATTAGCGCCCGTTAACTTAATATATTGTTGTTACTATTGTTTGATACTTGTTGCTTTATCTCCACTGTTCTTTGAGCCGAGGGTCTATCAGAAACAACCTCTCTATCTTTATAAGGTAAGGGTAAGGTCTGCGCACACACTACCCTCCCCAAACCCCATTTATGAAAAAATACTGGGTATGTTGTTATTATTGTTGTTGTTGTAATTTGGACTCAATGGACCAACAAAAAGTTTGGACACCCAAAGTTTTTGGAAAAATTGCATATTTGGCTGCTCGGCCAAAAATATTTATAGTCACTAGCCAATTTACATATATTATATACTAATCATACATACGTTATGTATATATGCCACCTATGTTTTTGAACGAGCGGCTATTTAAGTTAATTTCTCCTTTTCGGCAGTGGCCCAGATGCAAAACGAGTCCAATAGAAGCCCAACTTGCACTCCCATCTCGAGGAAATTTGAACTAAAAATCTTAATTTCTAGACACAATTTGAACTGGCAAATTGAAATTCGGGAAAAAAATAAATAAAAAATAGCCAGATTTACAACTGGTAATTAAAAATAGCCACCGTTTCAAAAGTAATTAAAATATAGCCACTTTTTCATGTAAGGATAAAATCTGAACAAAAATACCCTTAAAAATCCGAAAATATTTGAGTATAATATGCTAGAGTTCGAATTTTTTACATATGAGCTTCTAGAATAATGTGCTGGAGTTCTAACATAATGTGCTAGAAGTTAATATGTAGGAGCTCCATGATCGAGCATATTATGTTAGAACTTTTCGTGTGCTGGAGTTCCAATATAATATGCTGGAAGTTTATACGCAGGAGCTCCATAATCCAGCATATTATGTTGGAACTTTCCGTATTCCAGCAAAATAATGGCTATTTTCAATAACTTTATAAATATTAGCTATTTTACAACTACCAGTTCGAGGACTGGCTAGCCTGTGCTATTTTTACTCAAACTTTAGGGTGAAATTCAAAAATAGCCAGATTTACAAGTGATAATTGAAAAATAGATACAGTTTCAAAAGTAATCGAAATGTAGCCACTTTTCATGTAAAGATAAATTTGAACGAAAATACTGTTCAAAATCCGGAAAATATTCCAGCATAATATATTAGAGTTTAATTTTTTTTATATGTGAACTTCCAGCATAATATACTGGAAGTTCATACACGGGTGCTCCAATCTCCGGTATATTATGCTGGAACTTTCTGTATACTGGAGTTCCAGCATAATATGCTGGAAGTTCATACACAGGTGCAACAATCTCCAGCATATTATGCTGGAACTTTTCGTGTTTCAGCAAAATAGTGGCTATTTTTCAATAACTTTATAAATATTGGCTATTTTTCAATTACCAGTTCGAGGACTGGCTAGTCCGTGCTATTTTCACTCAAAATTTATTGTAAAAATTGCACGAGGCACCCCCATTTAACCTATACCCACTTTTTAAAAAGGTTTTAACTTGTACCCACTTTTTAAACAAATTCAGGCCTCTTTCTCCTCCTCCTTCATTTTTTGAATGTTGAAACTTGAGATATTGTTATGCGTTCTAGCCTGATGATTCGTATATATCTGCTTGTCCCATTATGTTCAGTTTGGTCTTATTCACAATAATTTAACCTCTTAGATATTTTAACTTTACAGACACATTGGTTTTTGGTTCTAATTTATCTGTAGTAACTTATTTTCATGTCGAAATATTTTTCATTCTTTAATCTTTGAAATGAACAGCATCAATCGTTGCTAATCATGATCTATTAAATTCATTGTTGTTTAGAACTTCAGCTCTAAGAATGCTGAAGTTCAGCAAATATAAACAAAAACTTCAGCTCCTAGAATGCTGAAGTTCAACAATTACAAAATAAGTTTCAGCTCCTAGAATGCTGAAGTTCAACAATTACAAAATAAGTTTCAGCTCCTAGAATGCTGAAGTTCAACAATTACAAAGCAATTACGAAACAAACTTCAGCTCCTAGAATACTGAAGTTTAGCAATTACAAAACAAAAATTTCAGCTCCTGGAATGCTGAAATTCAACAATTACAAAACAAAAATTTCAGCTAAAACATGCTGTAGTTTTATTGAACTAAAGTTTGCCATTGCACTATAAACTAAAATTTGCGTGATTGCTTTTGCAAGTCAGGCCAAACTTCAGGCAAAAATATCTGAAGTTTTGCTACACTTCAGGCAAAACATTCTGAAGTTCAAACTTCAGACATAAATTTTTACTACTTCAGGCTCGTATGTGTGAAGTTACACAAAAAGTGAGTACGCTTGCAATATTTTTTGTAAAATGGGTATAAGTTAAAATGTGATCCAAAAACTGGGTACAGATGCAAATATTTATTGCGAATTTGGACTGAAAGGCCCATCAATATTTTGGACACCCAAAAGTGGCTCAAATGCGAAAGGACTCGAATAGAAATAACACGAAGTCGCAGTATAAAGACGTTAAAAGTCGTTTAGATCACAAATTTGCAGAGCTCCAACGCCAGTTTCAATGGAGAATCCAGCAAATTTGAACATATACAAAGCTTCGAGAACCATAAAACGAAGAGAAAACACTCTCTTCAACGCCCTACGATCAATCTACGAGGATTCCATATTCGTCGGCGAGATTTCTCAGCTATGGCCGGAGCTTCCCCTACTTGCAAATCTCCGTTGTGGCCTTTGGTACTCTCAAAAATTCCACTCCACGTGCTATTTCAAGTCAACCGATGGACATACCAATAATTGGTCTTTCAATACCTCTCGCCTTAACCTCCATGTTGCCCTTCTTGCTGGTAACCTTATATCCTCTATTTAATACTATTTTATGTATAATTAACAGTGATTTGTTTGTTTGATTATCTTGGGAATTAAGGTATATATGTATGTATGTGTTGTATAATCTTAAAGAATCTTCTAATTAATTGAAGAATTTCTACCTCTTTGTAAATTGGTACTCAGAATGTTCCGATTTATATGTTGGTCACCGGAGCGTATGCAGGATTTTTTGTAAGCGGTGTCGATATTTATAAAAGAGTGGGTGAATAAATAACATTATTTATCACATTTCTAGACAAAGGAGTAGCCTAGACTATTGATTTTGTTGAGTTTTAAGTTAGAAGAGGTCCAGAGTTCAACTCTACCTAACTACAATTTTTAATAATAGAGGCTCTTTCAAACGTTTGCCAAAAATATATTGCAGCGGAGGTTCGAACCTCCGACTTTAAGAGCAAAATCAAGAATTTAACCAGGGCAACGATCTATGTCAAGTGGTGTCATTTTGCTTTCTGTTATTTGTTTCCGCACAATATCAATACATAGTTCTGTATCGCGTGACAGTTGACACTGCTTCATTCCGCGTGCATCCGCCCCTGCTGGTCACTGAGTATGCGTAGTATTTTGTTGTCTTAAAATGTCATGTTAAGAGTATGTCATTTAGGGTAATATGAGAACGATTAAGATTAAAGAGTTCACATATATATATATATATAATGTATTAATTATTTCGGAACACACCAA